GCATGTGGTGCTGGGGGATTGAACCACGGTCCCTGTGTTTTGCTAAGCTTGTTCTAAGTAGGTGCTTTAGACCACTGAGCCATCTCACCAGCCCCCAGACTTCACTTTTTGTGAGAAGGAATAAATCCCAGTTTTCTTAAAGAAAAGATTACTCAAACATGGTCTAAACTCCTAGCAAGTGGATTTACATCCACTAACTAGGAAGCAAGGAATTCACATGGGTACTACCCACATTCAGTGGCCACCATCCAGACTCCTCAGGTGCCCAGCTATACTTAATGTAAAGAACATCCAAAAATTCTTACACCAAAATAAAGGCTCTGCCTTAATAGTATGCTTTTAACTTTATTTCTTTTTAATTAAAACATGGGGGGTGTCCAAGCTTAACAAAATAAGATATAGGAAATAGAGTTTTTTTCAAATGGAAAGGAGACCAAGAGTTGGAGCAGGGAGGGAAGAGAGTGAAACTAGACAAAAAGGAATTAAGAGGTGGTATGTACATGTACCAGCTCCCCACAGTAAATATATGTACTGCAAGCATGTACTAATAAAAACTACATAATTAAAAAAATACATGCAAAGACTTTTTTCAAATAAGTTAGTATCTACATAAATTCTGGGAATTAGAATGTGGACATAACTTTTTTATTTATATTTATTGAGAAATATGAAAGACAGTTTCACAGCTGATTAGTAGGACAGTTTTGATAATCAATACACTGTACATTGTTATCTTCTTAGTGGTTATCCATAGTACAAGAAGCAGACAGGATATTCTGTCCAAACACTGTTACTACACTTCTTTCTTCTCATTTGAATTAAGCGAAAGTAGCTGTAAATTTATCCTATTTTGTATATATAAATACAAAATGATCTTTCCTTTGTATCCTTTTTTTGTCCTGTCAGAGGTGAATAGTCTATTGGCATCTAAATACTATAGGTGTTTGAATTCAACTAAATAATCTAACACTGTCTAGCAGTCTATAATATTAGTGGGTTATCCTCAGAAGTTATTGACTTGAGCCTTTTGCAGTTCATCGTATTAATATGGCTTTACTTTATATACCTCGCTTTTATACTTTTCTGCTGGTTAAGACCAAGATATAGCAAGACCTATATAACAAGAAATGTAACTTTTGTATCTGATAAAGTCAGCCACGTACTCTCAGGATTTATCCTGTAGCCCTGTACCGCCCTTTGTACATCCTTTTGTCAGTGTATGTCTGACATGAGGATGTCCCGGCCATTGCTTGACCGACATATCTATTTGGAGGGCCTCCAACCCACCATAAACAGGCATGTCAAGTGTGAAGACACAGTTTATGCTATATGATTAAATAACATGACATTAAGTGCAAAGTATGATTTTGTAATCAATTGATTTGTTAGAGTATCACTTGGAAATTAGTGAGTTATTATGAGATGTTAACAAATACTTGGCTCTGATAGTCTTTCTAGATCTAAATTAGAACTAGCATTGTCTTTTTCTAAAGACATTAGTTTAGCACAGTTGTAAATTACCACCACTACCTTCCCAACAGCTAGCTTATTAAAGGCACTCTAGTAATTCATAGAAATGGATTGGAATGTTCAGCAAAATGATGATTAAGTACTACTTAACACTGAGCTCTGTGCAAAACATGTTAAATAGATATGTCTGTGGTCCTCTCTTACCCTCCTATACAAAGTATTATATAATAAACTACCAGTTTTTATTTCCTGTATCTTTCTTTCTGTGCTGTACCCCACTGACTTTAATTGGCAGGGGTTCTTGGTGAGAAGGTCATTTTGTTGCCGCGGAATTTGGATGAAGTTTTTCCTTAGAGAACTTTGATAAGCATTAAAGGCTAAAATGTGTGCTTCATAACATCTCTGCCTTTGATCTTCCAGAAATGTGGACATAAAGGCATAATGTTGAGGCTCTCAAAGTTGTTATTTTAATTCTTTATCATGGATGGGTGTTGAATTTTGTTAAAGATTTCTTCAGTGTATATGGAAATGTTTTCTTTATATATAATACATGGGATGATATTATTGGATTTCCCAGTATAGAAACAAACTTGTATTTCTGGGGTGAAAATGCTTGATCATGAAGCATGGTTCAACACTCAGTTCTTCTAAAAAGGATAGGATACTGTGGCACCCAATTGACAAAGTTAATACTTTCCATTATTCTGTTCACAAACCAGTTGTCCAGTTGGACAAGAACTAAATCAAATTTCTCCATAAGGTCAGTATTGAACCTAAGCATTGAATTTGATTCAGTTCCCATCTAGTTCAGTTTGTGACCAAATTGTGGAAAAAATTAACCTTATGAACCAAGGTACCACTGTATGTCAAAACGTCCAAGCTTCCAAACTTAAAGAGCATTTAATGGCCAAAAGTGAGACAGTTTAAGCAAGACAATAATAAAACTGAATTATAATCGAAAGGGTAAAATAGCTATTCATGAACCTATAATGATATAAATAATTGTATAATAGGAAAGGGATGTGTCTTATAGAGGAATTTCCATTAATAAATTTAGAAGACTGAAGAAAATAGAAAATCACATTAGGATTCCACAATTGTTGCAGGCAAGATATCCATGAATGGACACTAAAATTAATGTGTGACAATATGGAGAGAAATAGGATAGATGAAACTCAGGGCTATATAGTAACCCTGTGTTATTTTTATATTTCTGTAAGTGTAGAATTATTTACAAGTAATTGTAAAATGAAATGATGGCTACATGAACAATTATGTTATCAGTGGATATTTGTTCCTTAATTTAAGAGAGTTAAGGATTTTTCTATATAAACTTTTGGTACCTTATATTGTTTATGTAAATTCAAGGAGCCCAATAAAATAATCGAGGAAGTATTACTTCACCCTTTACTAAACCCAAAATAAGCTAGCTTCCCTATAAATGCTACAGACCCCTCCAAACAGTAATTGATTTGGCCATTTAGGAAGTTAGAGATGTTTGACCTTTTTTTAAAATAATTTTATTGAGAAATAGCAATGAAACAATTTCAAAACTGATTATTTGGACAGTTTCAATAATTAATACATTGCATATTGTTGTCTTCTTAGTGGTTATTCATAGTACAAGATGAAGGCATGATATCCTGTCCATAAACACTATTAGAACAAATCTTTCTATTCAGTGACTTAAGAGAAAGTAGCTGTATATCTATCCTATTTTGAATATACAGATACAAAATAGTCCTTCATTTGTATCCCCTTTTTTTGTTTAATTTTGTCAGATACGGGTATTCTATTGTCATTTAAATATTGTAGGTGCGGAACTGAGGAGATGGCTCAGTAGAATAAGTGCTAGCCTGGCAAGCACAAGGGCCTGAGTTCAATCCCTGGTTCCAGAAAAGGAAAAAAATATAGATAGATAGATAGATAGATAGATAGATAGATAGATAGATAGATAAATGTATATATAGTAGGTGCATGAATTCAAAATATTCCAATATAGTCCAATAGTCCATAATGGTAGTAGGTTATCCATAGGACTGGTAATGTCAGAAGTTGTTGACTTGAGCCTTTTACAGCTCAGCATATTAATATGGCTTTACTTTTTATACTTTTCTGCTGAATGGTTAAGACCAAGATAAAGCAAGACCTATATAACAAGAAATGTAACTTTGTATCTGACAAGGTCGGTCAGATCCCCTCAGGATTTATCCTGAAACCCTGTACCACAGTTTGCAGATCCTTTGTCAGTGTTAGCCATGTGGATGAGTCACGGCCATTGCTTATCACCGCCAGTTTGCTCTCTGTGAAAGCCTAAGAGAATGTTTTCTCTCCATGTGACTCCTTAGGCACACTCTACATCATCGATCACTTTCCTCTGTGGCCTCATAATCTCCTTGATCAGAAAATTTGGGACACAACTGAGTTACATGATGTTACAGTACAGGTTCTCTTATGTCCTGAGTCCTCACTGACCTTGAAAGGCTAGGGCCAAAATGTTGACTGTCCTTGAAGCCCTACTGTTTCTCTGATTTTTGGTCTGCAAACTTAAGTTGTTAACCCCCCAGAAGAGAAGCTTATTATTATTGCCCTACAACATAGGCTGTGGAGCTTAACCTCACTATCTGTCTGAATATCAAGAGATGTTTGACTTTTTGAAAATAAACTTTGGGTTGGGAGAGGGTAATATTTTAAAGAGAACATTCAGTAGAATTAGTTTCATAGTAGTGGTCTTTTTAAGATGTAATATATCTTCCCCAGGTATTCCGGAAGGACCTCATCAGTGCCATGAAAATTCCAGATTCTCACCACTTGAATCCTGACACCTATTACCTCTTTTCGGACACATGGAAAGAAGAATGGGAAAAGGGAGTCCAAGTGCCAGCCAGTCTAAACACTGTTCCAGAGCCTTCTGTCAGGTATTTGCATGCTTGCATGTTCACAAATTTACTGAGATCTGTGGTGCATCATACCATGTCAATATAGATAAGTAAAGTCAAACTCATTTGTATAGGAATGTAATATGAGTTCATTCATAGTATGGAACTGTTTGAAGTCCAATCTGAAACTATAAGAATTTGGAGGCTCCAAGTTTGACTTTAGCGATCAATAGCACTTTTAGTCTTCAAAAAAAGCAACATTAATTAGTAACTTTCACATGAAAAGTTTACTTCAGTATAAAAAAAGCCTCATAGTGATGGTGTCAAGAAATGGCTAAAACTTGCAGTTTAAAAATGCATAAATTCAGGTGACAGTGGAATTTTGGAATAACTGGATTAGCTACAAACACATGACCTTCACTTACTTGAAAAGATTAGAGAAGAAAGAACTAGAAGTGGGCTTTGATTTTTATGGAAAGAGGAGAGAAGGCTCTTCTGCCAGAGGAAGTGGTAAATTTAGCTCCTAGAATAGTTGATGATTTTGGAAGCCATTTTTTTTTTCCTTTTGCGGAACCAGGGATTGAACTCAGATCCTTGCATTTGCCAGTCAAGCGCTTATCCTACTGAGCCATCTCCCTGGCCCCAAATTTTGTGTGTGTGTGTGTGTGTGTGTGTGTGTGTGTGGCCAGCTCAGCCCACCAGGGGGCGGGGCTGGCTGGCATGTGGTGCTGGGGGATTGAACCGCAGTCCCTGTGCTTTGCTAAGCTTGTTCTAAGTAGGTGCTTTAGACCACTGAGCCATCTCACCAGCCCTTTTGGAAGCCATTTTGTTTTCCTGATCTTCAATATAAATTTGAGTCATTAAGGAATGACTAAATATAGCACAATGTTCCAGATAAAGGAGCTGGTTGGACCTGCCATTTAATATGAGGAATCATTGGTTCTTAGGACCTAATTATGCTGCAAAAGAATTTGTTGAATCACTTGTAGAAACCAAGGACCAAGCTATCCTACTCATAGAGAAGGGTGTCCATTCTCTGTTCAGGAAAGCTTCACAGTCTTGCTCAACGCATGTTCTAAGCCACACTAGTTTATCATCAGTATCTTTCTCCTGCTTCCTAAAGATCAGAATAACATCATGAATGAACTAGAGTTGAGCATTTTCATATCCTTGTTGTCCATATTTTTGTATAACTACAGCAGCCCTGATGCTGAACTCATTGCCATTCTGTTGACACTCCAGAGATTTTTGAAGCATTTTGACTTTAGTCTCTTTTGTTGTTGTTGTTTTTGTTGTTGTTGTTATTGTTGTTGTTGTTGTTGTTTGGTGGTACTGGGGATTGAACTCAGGACCTTGTGCTTGCCAGGCAAGCACTTATTCTACTAAGCTATCTCCCGGGCCCCCCTTGACTTTAGTCTTGATGTGAAGCAGTATTAGTTGTCTATTCAATGAACATGTTTTTAATCATTTGAATCATATGGAGAATATCCAGTGTACTACTTTAAAAATGCTATTCACCCAATAAGTAGGGTAACAAGAGTAGATCAGCAGTTTAAGAAAAGTGAATTTAGAGGCTAAAAAAATTGTTTTGAGGGTTTACAAATCACTTCTGTTTGCCATAGTTCTTTGCCTAGTTCAACCATTAATTTTAATTGGACAAACCAGACTATTAAGTTATTGATTGTATTAAGTTCATTAATGAAATCCAGAACTGCTGCTGGTTGCTCTTGGTAGGTAGAAATTGTCATTTTCTGTTTCTTAGAAAATATCAATAAGAATCATGCTATAGGGCTGGCGAGATAGCTCAGCAGAGTAAGCACCTGCTTAGGCAAGCACAGGGACCAGGGTTCAATCTCCAGTACCGCATGCCATGCTGTCTTCACCCCCCCAGGCTCACTGAGCTGAGAACCAAGAGCTCGGGCATGGTGGCACAAGCCTATAATCCTGGTGCTAGGGAAGCTGAAAACAGGAGGATCACTATGAGTCTGAGCTGTGTAGTGAGACCCTGGACCAAATACATAAATTAAAAAAAAAAAAAACCAAAAGAATCATACTATAGCATAGAGCATTTACTGTGGAGTTACTATCCTCAAATTTAGGTTACATCAAAATCACCTGGGGCATTTGTTAAAACAGATATCTGAGCCATATGCCCAGAGCTTTTAATTGAATAGATCTTAGGTATGAGGTCTGAGACTTTGTATTTTGAATAATTCTCCTAATGATGCTGATGCTGCTTGTCCAGGGAGGACACTTTGATAACAATTATGTAGAATATCTTATTTCCTAAGTCTAATGGAAATCACTTTTGTCACTTTCCTTAGGTTTCACTTTTGGCCTTAAATATTAAGTCAACCATACTGGAAGCTTAAGTGATTTAGAATTAAAGCTTTATGTTTATGTTTATTTTTAGTTTTATTTCTTTATTGCAGCTACCATCATTTTGCAGGGCTCAAACTGTGTTATGATTTTTCTTGTTTAGATTTTGTAGGCCACGTTAAACATTTTTGTGATATGAGATGATATTGAAACATTGATAAATTAATTTCTATGCCCCTTATTTAATTTTCAAAATCAGATTAATTCAATTAACATTTTGGGAGCTGGGCATGGTGGCACATGCCTATAATTCTATCACTCTGAAGACTGAGGAAGGAGAATCATTGCAAGTTTGAGACCAGCCTGGGCTACATAGTGAGTTTCAAGACCCAGAATTTTTTTGGCGTACTATATAAATTCAGGTTTATTTACTTATTTGGCTCCATGGTATGAAGTTCCGACACTGCCCTTTTACATAGTGCTTAGCCTTAAGGGTTTTTTTATGCATTTAGTAAAGGGTCTACATGGTCTCACTACACAGATCACACTCATAGTGATCCTCCTGCTTTCAGTCTCCCAAGCTCTGGGATTACAAGCACATGCTACCATGCCTAGTCTCAGTCGCATATCAGCACACCCTGGGGTGGAGCCAGCATGGCACGCCAGGATCCAATCTTGATCCCTGTGTCTGCCTAAGCAGGCGCTTTAACCTGCTGAGATATCTGGCCAACCCAGACTTAAGGTTTTTTGACAAATCTATTTCCCGTCCATATATCCTCTTCAGTGAAATACATCTTTTTCATATCTTTTGCCCATTTTCTAACAGGATTCTTTGTCTCTTTATATTAAATTTTAAGAATTATTTATACATTCTCAATGAGTCTCTTGTTAACTATGCACTTTGCAAATATTTGCTTCTAGCGTATTGTCTTTGTATCCTCTTAACAGGGTCTTTTGCAGAGTCAGTTATAGATTCTTTTCTTTTGGATCATGCTTTTAAACATTTTCTTTTTTTTACATTTATTTATTGTGTGTGTGTGTGTGTGTGTGTGTGTGTGTGTGTCCAGCTCAGCCCACCAGGGGGCGGGACTGGCTGGCATGTGGTGCTGGGGGATTGAACCGCGGTCCCTGTGCTTTGCCAAGCTTGTTCTAAGTAGGTGCTTTAGACCACTGAGCCATCTCTCCAGCCCCCTGGATCATGCTTTTAATGTCATGTCTATGAACTCATCTAGGCCCAAGTCTGAAAAATTTTTTATATGTTTTCTTTTAAGTATCTTATATATGGCATAGTATGGTGACTATTATAGATAATAGTTATGGTGAGTATAGATAATGATTATCTATTGTGCATTTCAAAAAGGTTGAAACCAAGTGTGGTGTTGCTCATCTGTAATCCCAGTGCTTGGGAGACTGAAGAAGGATTGCACATTCAAATTCAGGTTGGGCTATATAACATGTTTGAGGTCAGCCTGGAAAAACGAAACAAAACAAAACAAAAAAAAACAACAACAACAAAAATATATATCACCGTCTCAAAAATAAAGCTACAGTTAATAAACATTTGAGGAAATATGTATAGCCTGATGTAAACATAACCAAGCATAGCCAGACTTGGTGGCACATCCCTATAATCCCAACACTCTTGGACACTGGGCAGTTTGAGCCCAGCCTGGACTATGTAGTGGCTTAACAAGATCCTGTCTCAAAATTTTAAAAAAGAAAAGGAACGGAGAAAGGCGAAGGAAAGGAAAAGAAAAGGGCTGGTGGAATTTCTGGGTTTAATCCCTAGGAACACTAAAAAATATGTAATATGTGTGTCTACTGAAAATGACGTGGTATCACAATGGGCACAACTTTCATGCTTTTCTTATCTATTAAAGTTTTTTGTTTGTTTGTTTGTTTGTTTACAGTACTGGGGATTGAATTTAGGACCTTACACTTGCCAGGCAGGCCCTTACGCCACTGAGTTATCTCCCCGCCCCCTCCCAAGTTTTTAAATGTGAATAAAAATCAAATTTCAAAAATGTTACCACTAGAAAAGTTTTATAGTTTTACATTTGAATCCATTTTGTGTTAATTTTTTGTAAGTTTAGTTCGAGGTTCAGGGTCATATAAGTTGAGTCTTTCCCTTTTATTCATTTTTTGAAATTACAATGGCTTTTCTAATTTGTCTTTCCACAGAAATTTTGTACTAAGCTTGTCTATATCTGCAGAAAAATCTTGCTGAATTTTCATAGGAGTTACATTAAACTTCCATATTATTTGGAAGTAGTTGACATCTTTACTAGGTTAAGCCTTCCAATTTTTCATTTATTTAGATTTTTCTTTCATCAACATTATGTAGTTTTCAGCAAATACCTTGTGTATGTTTGCTAGATTTATACTTCTGTTAATTCTTCTAATTGTTATAAATCTAGTTTCCAAATGTTCATTGTGAGTACATAACAAACACAATCAACTTTTGTGCATTGATCTTGTGTTTCTGCATCCTTGAAGAATTATGTAGTTCCGGAATTTTTTTAACAATTTCTTGGGACTTTCCTGTGTATACCATCATATCACTTGAAAATAAGGACAATTAGTTAAGTTCCTGGGCAGGGGAGATGGCTCAGTGGAATAAGCACTTCCCTGCCAAGCATAAGGGCCTGAGTTCGATCCCCGGTTCCGCCAAAAAAAAAAAAAAAGGGGCTGGTGAGATGGCTCAGTGGTCTAAAGCACCT